TTTAATAGTTTGTTAAATTTTTTTTAGAGTAAAATACACAAAAAGTATACCTTATTACATTTAAATTTTAGATTTAATTTTTGCTCAAATTTTTAATTAAATTAGATTTTTCAAATTTTATTCTTTCTTTTATATCAATAAAATTTCCATCAAAATCTCATCCAAAAATAATTTATTGTAAATTGGAAAAATATAATTAATGCGCAAAACAAAAAAAAAAAACAAACAAACAAACAAGAAAAACAAAAAAATTATGTCTGAAGCATTCATATTTTTTGACCATTTTTAACTTTGCTATTAAAGTTACACTTAGAAAATTCGAGAAATCTCGACAATATATGATTTACCTGAGAATATCAAAAATATTATTTGATCCCAAATTTTGAGAATGTTTATCGAATACTAACCAATGTTGCAAATTGGGTAGTATTTTTACCTGTTTCATTATGTTTGTGTTAGGTAATCTAGGTTAACAAATGGAAAAGTTTCAGCGCAAAAAGGACAAATCCGCTTATCACTAAGAAAATCTGTTCATTATGCTATTTTAATTTTATTTAATTTTGTCGTATTTTTTTTTTTTCATTTTTTAAATCAAATTTAATACATTCCTTTTGCTCTATGTTTGTTTGTTTACTTCTCGAATAAAAGTTATTTAGTAATGTTAGCAATTTAGAAAAGTTATTAGTATGTTATTTATGCTATGATAATTTGAAAATGAAATATTTAATTATTTGATTATAATTTCCAATAATTTTTAGCTTTTTTAAATTGCAATTGTTTTACTGTAACTTATATTTACTTGCAAATATTTAATATTATAAATAAATTTCAGTTACTTATTTTTATTAATGCTACAATCATATGATATTTTAAATTCATTTCACTAATTATTAAATTTTCATCAATTAATTAAATTTCAATAATTTTAAAATTTTATTAATTATTAAAAATTCAGAAATCTTGAATTTCTTGGATTGAAATCTTGAATTTTAAAAATTTTTTGAAGAAATTAAATACATTGTACTAATTCCTTTTTTCTTTATTAATTCTGCTATAGCAATTTTTTTTTTTAAATCTTCAAGAATGTTCAATAAATAGATAAACTTGATCACTACCAGTATTATTTGTTATTAAATCGATCAATTTTCTTAGGTAATATATTTGTTTATTTTATTTGATAATTAATTTTTGTTACTTTAATGTTATCAGTGATTATAATTCTTAATAAGAAAACAATATTATCAGTAAAAAAAATGATAATAACTATCGATTACTATCGACGAAAATTATATCAAAATTTCATTTTTTATGCAATAATTTTATTATGGAAATTACAGCGATAATTTGAATAAATTTCTTTCCAAATTTTTTGCAATACTTAAAGAAATGAATGAGTTTAGTATTTCTTGAATTTAATTTTAGAAAAAATGAATTTAATATTTCGTGAATTGAATTTAGTACTTCTTGAATTGAATTTGGTACTTCTTGAATTGAATTTGGTACTTCTTGAATTGAATTTAGTACTTCTTGAATTGAATTTAGTACTTCTTGAATTGAATTTAGTACTTCTTGAATTGAATTTAGTACTTCTTGAATTGAATTTGGTACTTCTTGAATTGAATTTGGTACTTCTTGAATTGAATTTGGAATTTCTTGAATTGAATTTAGTATTTCCTGAACTGAATTTAGAGGAAATGATTTTAATATTTTTTGAATTACTTTTATTGCAATATAACAACTTCAAAAGTATAATTAGTTATTTTTAAACTATCATTCATTAATTGCACAAGTAATTCATTCATTATCAGCTAACTCAGTTAATACTTTTTTCTTGACACCATTTTATCTGTCAAATTTCATGTCAAAGGTCATTTAGGACCAAACAATTAGTTAACCATAACGATTAATAATAATTAGTCATTTTCTGGAGCAAAAAGATCTGAAATGTATTTTAATTTCATTAAAGATTTGTTAAGTGATAAGAATTTTTATACTTATGTAGCTGAACTTGATGATAAGTAAATTTTGGTGATAAGTAATGTAAAGTGATATGTGGTAAATAACTTTTTAATTGTTTGCTAAAAAAAAAAGTGGGTCAAAGTTGAATTTTTTTTTATCATTTTTGTTATCAGTAGTGATTTGCTACTACTATTTGTTAATTTTGGTGAGAAAAAAAAGGCCATAGATTGTAATTAAATGATAACAGATAAGATAGAATGATAAACATAGCATTGTGTACAAATTATCAGTATTATCAGATGTATGTATGAATTGAAATGATTAGGGAGAAAGTTAGATTTTTTAGTTTTTGTTAAAAAATTTTGCTCACATTTGGTACTACAAATTTTTTTTTTTTTTTTTTTAGTATTAACTCTTGAAATAAAGAAATAATTTGAATATGTGAATGTAGTAATAGATGAAAGGATTAAATAAGTGGTTTTTTTTTTTTCTTTTTAAATAAATATAATTTAAACTTTCTTCCACATTTAAATAATTAGCAAATTTTTAAATTTTAAATTGCTATAAAGTTTGTGCTCTTTAACTTTTTATAAATTACGACTATCATTTTGATTTTGTCATTACAGAAATTTTATTTTTTCTTTTTTAAAGATGACATTTGCAAACATATATTTTAGTGATAATCTAACAGAGTATAAAGCTAATTTATACTACCAATTATTTGATAAGAGTGATAAAAGGTGAAAGGTGAAAGTGTGTGTTTGATTTTGTTATTTACCTAATTTTAAATTATCATTTTCTGACTTAATGGTAAATTTTTAACAACAAATACTTTCTAGTATTAGAATTTTTTTTTTTTTTTAATTATTTTAAAAGTATTACTTATTTACAGTACCGAGAAATGATGTTTACACTGGCAAAATTATTTATTATCCATTCATTGCAACTGCAATTTATGTTATTTACGAATTAATGGACCGGAAATTAACAATTAGTGAAATTGACAGGAAAGTGTTACTAAAGTAGTGAAATTTGAGAGAGAGAGAAAATTTTTTTGTGATAAAGAAAATAATTTAGAGCATTGACCATGAAAATGATATGTACCTGCTTGATAGTTTAAGAGAAAAAACACTTAAGGAAATTTTAAGTTAAAATGTGTAAATGAATTTTTTTTTTTTTTTTAAAAAGAGAATTTTTTCTGTTTTTTTTTTTTTGGAAATTTGATAGGCTAATGTTTTTGGAATAGAATTATAATTTTTGTAGAATACCAGTTTGAGAAATTAAATTATTGTGAATTATTGATTGTATTCAATTTTTAATGTAAATAATTGTAAATTTTCAATAAATTTTCGATGTAAATAATTCTAAACTTTCAATAAATTTTCGATGTAAATAATTTCAAATTTAATTTGGTGTGCAATGTTTATCAAAAATGAACAATAACAGAAATAAAGAAAATTAAAGGGTACTAAACTTTTAGAAGTTACTTATTTGTGATCAAATAGAAATAAATTCACAGAATAAATAAGTATTAATTATGGTTTTAAACTAACAAAGAGATTAAAGGAATTTTTATGGTTCATTTGCTGAAGGTCAATTATATATAATCTTAACGGATGTGAAAGCATTTATCGTTTTTAGAATATTTATTGAAAATTTGTTTACGAGAAACGAATCTGAAATTCAAATCTTTAAAATATGGATGTTAATTTTAACACAAAAATATTTATTGCTTAAATAAATTCTTCCTAGAATTACTTCATTGTCTTTTTTTTTTTTGACGGAAAAAGATGTTTTTGAAAAAGATTTGTTTTTTGTTTTTGAAAAAGAAAAAAAAAAATAAATTTGACAAGAAAAAAAGAAAAACAAATTTCATTATTCTTTTCAGTTAGGCTATTTAGTTAATTTCACTTCAAAATATTTTGTTTATTTAGTTTAGAATTTAAAGCAAAATGAAATAAACTTTTGATGTTTGGCTGGATTATATTGTGAAGAATCTTATTTGAATAAAATCAAAATAAATTAAATAATTGAAATTCAAAGAATATTAAATAGTTATATTTGTATGAGTTTATTTATTTATTTATTTTTTTCGATATATGCAATGAATGAAAAGAAGAAACAAACATTTTTAAATGAAAAGCATATGAAATTAAAATTGATAATTATTATTTATTTTTGATTAAAAAAAAAAAAATAAAATTGAAAGTTTTTTTTTTTGAGTGGAACACAATAAGTATATTTTCAGTATTTTAATTTTATAATTTTGTGCTTTGAAATGGAATTGAAATGAAATTAAAAAATATCAGAATTTAGTTTAATATTATTACATAATAATTCGTTCAAATGAAAGGATTGCATTGCAAATGGAAGAAAATAAAAAGAAATGAAAATTTGAAAAGTTCAACTAAAATACTGAAAATGAGAATACGAATATATTAGTTTGAACACAATCATTTTTCAGTTCTTCATGCTGTGGTAAATAATGCTGGCATACGAGGAAATCAATTTTACGACGACTTTCTACTTTTGGACGACTATAAAGAAGTGTGGGAGGTTAACACATACGGTGCGATACGAGTGACACAAACATTTCGAAGTCTTATCAAGAAATCAAGGTTTCATCTAATGCAAATTTTGAAATGATTATTTATCAGCGAATAGATCAATCAATAATTATAAAAGTTATTATCAATATTTCTCTTTTTTAGTTCAAAATTTTATTTATCCTAGTGGTCGAATTATCATTTGCTGTAGTGCGTCCACGTTATTTCCAGCACCTACTTACGGCCCTTACGTATCATCAAAATGTGCTCTTCAAGCTTATGCTAATATCATCAGGTATGGAACTGCTGCATTTGTGACTGGTCTCGAGGAAATTATTTTTCGAGATTTCGACGTGAAAAGCATTCTCTTGATAGTTTTAGGTTGTCTGAAGAATTGTTTGAAGGTACGAATTGGAACCATATGGAGTAATTGTAGTAGTCTTATTTCCGGGAACCTACCAAACTGGATTACATGTCATTCAGGAACTGCATCGTATGATTGATTTCCTATGGAATCGATCGTCGCAAGAAATTCGTAACGAATATGGAAATGATTTTAATGTGAAAGGTTGCCTTATGCCATTATTGTCATTTGCGAACACATTGAATTTCAGTTATTTGCGATTATTTGCGAATCTCAATTGTTATCGCTGAGATAAATGTTTTTTAGCGAAAGCATTCGCAAGTGAAATGCTTTCAAAGTTTTTGTCGAAAGATACAGCAAAGGTTATCGATGCTTACTATGAAGCCATCGTTGCGAGACGACCAAAGCTTTCCTATCGAATTGGTTGGGACACGTCGCTAATGTTAGTTTCAAATTTGCAACGATAATTTAATTCGCAATGTGAAAAGTTATAAATCTCTTCTGATTATGATCCATTTATCAAGAATTCAAGTTTCCACAATCTCAGCCAATAGTTATTTACTTTTAGCTTCTATCCATACTCATTCATGCCACTAAGGGTACAGTGTCATCTGATGAAGTTCTTAATGAATTGGTTTGGAGCACCTGTACGGAAGCAACCGGTTAGGAAACAGGAAACCTAGGAACTGATCCAATTCACAATAATATTGACTGGAATTTTTGTTGAAACCAAAGTTTGCTCTTTTCGACAAAAGCAGTTTTCAATTCGGAAAATTCAAACTGACGTAAAAATGAGTGATATTATGACTCATTTTTGAATTCTCTTCTTAAATTTAAACTTTATTTCCACTTTTCAAATTTAATTTATTGCTTGAAATGCTTTATTCATTAAATTTTTGACTTATTTCACCAAATACCAATAATTTACCATTGTAATTAAGAGAAAACCAAGTTATTAAGCGATGATTGAAATGTTTTACGGTATTCACAATCATTTTAAAAGTAATTTGAGTTTTCTAATAACAAAATTCCACTGGAAAAGTTTTTAATGGCATCAAACTGTTATAAAGAATTTATTACATTCCCTCATTCACTTCCTTAAGAGTTCATTTTTTGTAATTTTTGTAATATTAAAATTATTTTCTACTTTGTACGTAGCGCTTTTGTCCTTTGACAGATCAAATATGTAAACAAAACTTTGACATTTTCGTTGCAAACACTTTGGCTTTTTCCTTCGTTCACAATTTCTCTCATTTATTTTCCATAAAACACAATGAAATATGAAACATAAAGAAGATTAAATTTTATTCAATAAACAGCGCAAACAAAAAATGCAAAGACAATCATTCTTTTCTAGGAACTGAAATTTATACATGGAACAATGGCAAAATTTTAATTAAAAAAAATTCAATATTTATCAAGAAAAAAATTACATATATGTTTTTATGCTGTTTAATAATATAAAATTTCAACTTTGTTCTTCTCATAACTTAAATTTCATTAGCTAAAATGTCCCTCTTTTGAGATTTGTCAAGAATTTTAACTGTTTTTTCCTTTCAAATTTTCTTGACGTGCATCCTTCGTCACTATCGCAGGTAACGGTGCTCCACTTAAACGCAAAAGTAACTTCATGACGTGAACTTGCACACGCAGTGGCAGTAATGAATAAGGATAAAATCTGCAACAAGCAAATAAGTCGGTCGATCAATCATTTTTAATACTAAATTTCATCAAACGTTTAACTCATTAATACTAAAAAAAAAAAATTTGCTATTTAAATTTTTAACTCAATATTTTTGCAAATTTTATTATTCTCTTATTGTAAGTGCAATTCCTACTTCAATAACATATCCCAGCCAACACGATACAATAGTTTTGGTCGCTTTGCAACGATTGCTTCATAATACGAATCGATAACCCATGTCGTATCCAATGCTACTATCTTTTTCTTAAGATCTACTGCATGTGCTTTTACTGAAAAATTGCTACTAAATATGAACTAAATTTTTGTAGTCGCAAATCGTAAAAACTAAGTCGCAAATCATTTTTCGCAAATCATTTTGACTTAAGTATTTTCGTCGTACATTTATTATTGTTTCTCAAATACATATACAATAGAGTACCTTTCTCGTTGTAATTATGTCCGTACTCGTCACGCAATTCATGAGATGCTCGGTACCATACTGTATCAGTTGATTTCCAGAATTCCTGAATGTCATGTATTCCGGTTTCAAAGCAACCTGGCATAATCTCTATTACATCCACATCGTATGGCTGCAGCTCATGCCTTTAATTCATTTTCTAAAAACCTACAAATTTCATCTGAATATTTCAACATTTAATTAAATTTAAAACAATGCGAAACAAAAAAAAAAAAAAAGTTTAATTTATTACCTAATAATGATGCAATAAGCTTGAGCAGCAAACTTTGAGCAGGAATAAGGACCATGACTTGCTTTCGGAAATAATGTAGTAGCACTAGTACATATCACTATTCGACCTCTAAGATTGATAATTTCAGAAAGAAAGCGAAAAAGAAACTTAAAAATTTAATTAAGAAACAAAATTAAAAGGATGAAAAATCGATGAATACTACTATGTTTAAAGATCGAGAAAAATTAGTACTTTAATCTTTGAAATTTTTTATAACTTTGTCATCGTTCTTTGATCATTTATCAAAAAGTGTATATTATTTGAACCTAGATTTTTTGATAAGATCACGAAACGTTTGCGTTACTCGAATTACGCCGCACGTATTCACTTCCCACACGTCTTTATAATCGTCCACGGTCAAAAAGTCATCGTAAAAAAAGTGACCTTTAATACCAGCATTATTCACCAAAGCATGAAGAACTGAAAAGTATTATTTCAAATAAAATCTTTCTTCAATATTTGATTTATCAGTGCTATATTCATATGTTTATGATTACAATTCTCTTTTTCACTCTTATCAAATTATTCAAAGTATTGATATGATTAAAATGTTAATAAAGCATTGAAAGATTACTTATATTCCGCTTATTCGACTAATGAATATTTTATTTAAAGTTGTCTAGTAAGTCAAATTATTCAACAATTAATTGAATTGAATAAGAGTGTTTGTTTAAAGAAATGACACATATTTAAGACAAGAACCGATATTCTTTTCCCTTAAAACAGTGTCTACGATTTCTCGAGATTTTCGGACACTCTCGTCATCGGTTACATCCATTTGGAATGCATAAAGTCGACCTTGACTGATTGAACTGTAGCTTTTTTCTAATTCACTTATATTCTGAAAACAAGGTAAAAGCGATGAAGCATTTCACGGAAGTAACAAAAGTATTTCAAAATTTTCTTTTATTGACTCTATGCTACTTCACTCTTTCCTATTCTTCTGCTCTCAGTGATATTTTGCATTTCAAATTAGCCGATGAAATGCTAATTTGTATTCAAGAAATTATTTTATATTAGGTAGCTTACACTTTCAAACTGGCATCCTGCAAAAACTGTCAGTCCGTTCTGGAGACATCGTTTCACCAAATCTCTGCCAAATCCTGAAAATTATTTTTGTCTTTTACATCATTAACTAATATTTTTAATATTAGTTGATGCCACACTTTTCAAGCCACAAAATTAATAACAAATTTTCAGGATTATGAAGCACATCTTCAAGTTATTTTCTACCGGAAATCATACCGCTTCCACATCCTGTAATTAGCACAGCTTTCCTGTCAATTTCACCAATTGTCAATTTACGGCCCAATAATCCGTAAATAACATACAGCAATGGTAGTACAGTAAATAAGATTACCAGTAAAAACATCTATCAGTGATCAGAAAAATTATTGGGATCGAATAAAATTAGAAGGGCCTTAAAAGATGAAAAAGATATTTTTGATTGAACGTGAAATTACTTTTGCTTTTTATTCTTTAGAGGTTTTCACTTCTCAACACAAAATGGTCAAGAAGTAAGTTATATTGAATTGAGCCTGGTCAAAGAGAAAATGTTTGAAACTGTTGGCGGTAAGCAAAGAAGCGCAAATGGCAATTCGCATTTGAAGTTTTGATGAACGAATAGGGGAAAGGGCCGAGCGAATCAAAAACTGGAAGTCAACCGGTTGTTCCCTATTTTTTACTTTTTTATTCCTTCAATACTTTTTTCGATTGATGACGAGTAAATACCATTTAAAAACGCTGTGAAAATTCAAAGAATGTTTATATCAAAGTAATGAAAGAGTCGAATTATCATTTCACAAATCTTACTGACATCATTTTTAATCAAAGTTCATGTTTACATTACTTTAATGATTTTTATTGTCTTACAGGAAAGACTTGAGACAGCAGATTCCAAAGATACAAATCTGAATGTAGTTTAACTTCTTCTTAAATTCCGTATCTTCGACAATTCAAAACCATTTCAAACTTAAAAATCGTTGTTATAAAAACTTGCAATAAAAGTACGTACAAATATCGTCCATGTAGTACTCTCAATTGTTAGAGATTTCGTTCTCACATGAAATAATAATTTTAATAATGAAAAATCACAGTTAGTGTTGTATTACTTTAGTTTCAGTAAAAAAGACATTAAAATGAACTTGAAAACAACAAAAACGAAAAGATTTTAATTTTCAGTATACTTAGCGTTGCTCCACCCAAATTCTTTCTATTAAAATATTAAATGCACTCACCAAAGTGCAACTCTACTGTATGAGTAAGAACCATTGCTCAATCAATTCAAGTTTCTATTTTCATCGTCTCAGCAATAACTCATCGAATGATCCAGTAATTGAGTAATCGAGTGATCGGATAGATGGATTACCAGGTGATCACTGGTCAAATGATCAAATGCCCGAATGATCGAACAGTTGAATGGTTGAATGGGCAAGTGATCGAGTGATGTATTGATCAAATGACCAAGTAATTCAATCGAGTGACCGAGCGATCGAACGACCGAATGATCGAGTAGCCGAGTAATCAATCAACTAAGTAATCGAATGATCGAGCGGTCGAATAATCGAGTGATTGAACGATTGAAGGATCGAGCGATCGAGTGGCTCAATAATCGAACGATCAAGTGATCGAATGATCGAATGATCGAACGACCGAGTGAACTGCTGATCAAGCGATCGAGTGTCGAGTGACTGAGTAGTCGAGTGTTGAAGTGATCGTGTTATCTACTGATTGAATCAATCGATCGAGTATTATGAATAACGGATTGTTAATGGAATGGCCGAATGAAGAAGTGATCGAGTAATGAAATGATTAAGTAACCGAGTGATTGAGTCATCAATGAAATCTTTTTATAAGGATCGAATTAAAAAAACTTTGAACTGATTTTGTCTCTTTGCTCGTTGATTCTTCCGTATAATTACTGAATCAGCAGCTATAATTATCGAATCCACTTTTTTCGTTCAGTTTTTCTTCATCGAAATCCTTGCGATGGCCAACACATAACGTTGGGTCGTATTGTCCATTGCATTGAATCTTTGGAAGAATCAATCAATTGCGCACTGTTATTTGTATAACTTTGTGCCTTACTATTTGACCATTTTGTAGTGAAAACATATTTAAGGGAAGCAAAAGCAATTTTATCTGAGACAATTTCTCGTCACACTAATGAAAAATGTTTTTGCTGGTAATATTATTTATTATACTGTCACTGCTGTATTTCATTTATGGATTATTGGGCCGTAAATTGACA